GATGCCGATGACAAGAAATCGAAGATTAGGTGGGCCGGCCACGTTATGCGATATAATGATGACCGTTGGAACAGGGCGGTTACTGACTGGACCCCTCGGGACATCAAACGAACTCCAGGGCGGCCGCCAACAAGATGGTCAGACTTCTTCACGAAAGCTCTGAACGAAAGGAATGTTAAACCACGTATCCCTGGAGCGATTCAATGGACCACTCTGGCTCCTGACAGCGACGAATGGAGACGCTACTGGCGCTCGCTCGAGGAAATCGATGATCAACGGGGCGGCAAGTGATACAGGTGATAGAGGAAATAAATTTTGTTTACAAATATTCGTAACCATTCTTTCCTACCGCAAGGACCTATCTGAATTGCGTGAATCTGTTTCTTTTTCCACTGTTTCTAAGAATCTCGAATGCGAATATCGATAATGAATAGTAGAAATGGAGACATGGAAAAGTTTGAACGCGAATGTCGAGAATAGGCATTGGTTCCACTCTTTCGTGACCATATCCCACATTCAATGAACCTCTAAGCTTTCTCCATTCTTACACATTTGTCTCTCCTTTCTCAGACCCTAAAAGTCCTCATTCTACATCGATATCACCCTTAACTGCAATCCTTTACAGGTCCCTAGACTTGTTGGTTCCACTCTTTCGTGACCATATCCCACATTCAATGAACCTCTAAGCTTTCTCCATTCTTACACATTTGTCTCTCCTTTCTCAGACCCTAAAAGTCCTCATTCTACATCGATATCACCCTTAACTGCAATCCTTTACAGGTCCCTAGACTTGATCCCGTGCTGTCGCAGGATACGTTAGCCTTGTCAGACGTCTTCACTTCGTTCTAACTACGGCAAATTCTGCCGTTACTTTAACTTTGAGAGTCCTTCTTGATCATGTCCGCCTTCATTCTTTGCAAAGCTGTTTGCATAGCCGCCCTGACGTCTTCGTTCCTTATTCGGTCTAGTCGCCTTCAACCGCAAGCCCATCCTAGCATCCGCATCTCAGCGGAGTAAAGCTGTCTTTCATGGTTTCTGCATACGGGTAAGCATGCCGTTGATCATCGATCATTACCATTGTCCTGTATACCTTTCCTCTTAGCGTTCTGAAGCGCCTCCGATTGCATATGATACCAGTTGACTCGCTCCACTTTTTGTATGCCACGTTTATTCGGGCATTTACAGCCTGGTCTACGCTGCCTCGATCATTCCCTAAAAATCGGAAGTCCTGAACCCTCTTGATAGCTTTAGTCTACGACTGACTCCTTGCATCAGGATATCAGGGAGGGAGGCTTCCTGACGCCCTCAAGTGATATGAGGATGAGGGGGGCAGCAAACCATTTTGAAAGACCGCAAGGGCGAAACTTTCCTTTTTCTGTTCAACTATATCACTCCCTTACTGTTTTGCCTGCCTCATAAAACTTGTCGCATTAAAACATTAAAAAAAACAAAAAACAAAAACAAAGAACATTAAATATGTATATGTTGACCCACTGAACCACCATCCCAGCTGAATACGACCTTCCAAAATAGTTTCCCCAAGTCAGAGTAATCGATGAAGACTTACTTCAGCATCGGCACTCTCTTTAAAAATTACGGTTGAGGGTTCAGGCAATTGAAACTCGTTAATTTTGTCGATTCCAATGAGAACAAAATAAAGACTAGTGGGAAACGCTGCGTAGAAAAGAAGGAATACTCAGTACCACCTGTATCAGTTTCATTCCGTTGATCAACGATTTCCGCGGGCGGGCAGCAACGAAAAGATAGCTTGGGCCTTATTAAAAAGATTAAGCAGTGAATACCGGGAGGAAGTGCCTGAATTAGCATCGAAACTCGGAATAGATCGGCACAAAAGCATGGTCACCCATATTGTCGATAAGCAAAAGAGCAGTACCACTCAGGAAGCAGTCAACCCAGAATTCGCGCAGTAGCTATCGGTTGACGCGTTGAAGAACTCTCACATTAGAAAAGACTTGATCTGTCGTATTTCAGAGCTTGAACCAGTTGATCTACTTTGCTTTCTTACGGGGATGAACGAGAATTTTCCAACTACTGAGCAGTTTCTGAAATATCGTAACGAAAACAAGGTGCTGACTACAATAGTAGAGAAAATACTTCTACTGACACATTCCTTAACAGGAATCCGAAACAGCAAGGAATACATCTCATTCCGCACAAGTTTGCGTGAATGAACAAAGAGCTAAAGGAGAATTTCGGCATTTAGTCAACGAACAAAGTCATTAGCCAAAATCATCCAAAATTGATAGATATGCAAGAGACAAATAACGCAACAGAAGAGTAAGCAGCAGTTCATGATAAAGTCAGAATACCGATGAATCAGGTGATTTGACAGGCTAAGATATACCCATTATATACGCTCAATACAGGGCGCACTGTGGACTGACAAAATCTCGGAAAATTTCACAAAAAACTGTGACTGAAAAGTGTCTTTATTCTGATCCAGATCAGGATAACGTCGCTGTAGACGGTATAATGCAAGTAGTAGAAAAGAAGATCTTGGCAAAACAATTAGTTGAATTCAGATTAAAAAGGGATAATATGTAGAGAAGAACAACAACCTCAACAGTTCGAAGCGATCCTTCAGAAGCTGCGTGTTCTGCAGTCAATCCATCCAAATGTTAGTGAACTGCAGGACCGTTACGGACCCTCTGACGAGAAGAAATATCGCGAATAACAAAAAACTCTGTTTGAAATGCCTGTCTGCAAATCACAGTGGTTTCGATTGTTCATGGGCAAATTGCCTACAATGTGAGCAGCAACACAATAAAAGTCTATGCATCTCGGGTACAGAATGCTAGCTACATGCCTATTGCATCCACGCATCAAACAGCGATATCCCAGAAGTGGACCACTGCATCGAAGAAAGTATGCAGCGGCGCAAAGAACAAATAGTTCGTGTAACGTCCATTGACACCAACTGAAACTATAAGTCACCAAGGTTTGAGTGTTATTATTGTTCTCCGACATTGGCGCTAAGAAAACAATAATCAACAAGAAATTTCGCATAGATTCGGTTTATTAGGCAGTCTGACTGAAATAATGTGCAGGGTGCAGGTGCACAGCGTCAGAGCTTGGTGCACACATCGAGAAATTTAAAGCAGTTTCGTAACGCTGAGGGTTAACACCGCACACAGGTGGAAATTCATATGAAGGTCAGTCATTACAAACAGTCTTCCATCAGGTGGCCCTATGTTATCCCTTCCTCCGCGTAAAAATTAAATGCCCAGTCAGGTAGCGCTGGATCAGCACACAGTCAAAGGCGAAGAAATCTCAGGACCATCGGCTACCAAAAGGGACGGACAAGAGTGAGCCAGCTGATAGCTTGCACCTATAAGCATCAGCTCGGCCGCTCAGCTTTCGGCAATCATCGATGAAGCTGGACGGATTAAGTACCATGTAATCGGCTTGAGCGAGACGAAGCGGAAGGAGCCCCTCTCATGCATCTGGACCGAGGGAACTTCAGTGTTCTTAGGAGCTCGAAAAACGAATTCAACGTCAGTAGGCGTTGGTTTTCCTGTGTCGCCGAACTTCTCCAAACACGTAAAGAGCGTAACGTTCCATGGGCGCCGACTCGCCACACTAACCGCGTACCTTTCGAGAGATTAGCAAGACACCATCATACAGGCTTGCGCGCCTACAGCTGACAGCCATGAAGAGCAGCATGACAACTTTTACGAACAACTCGAGCAGCTCGTGCGTAGGCAATGTGGTTACGTCGCTGTGATGGGAGACTTCAACGCCATGGTTGGATCACGAAAGCACGGCGAGGTTTTCATCGGGTCACATTCGGCAGAAGATAGCAGCAAGCCTGGGGAGAGATTAGCGAGTTTTTGTGAACTGCATCATCTCTACCATGGCAATAGTCAATTCCTTAAGGTACCACGGAAAAGATGGACTCATATCTCGCCGAATGGACAACACTGTCACGAAATCGACCACATCTTGTGCAATCGGAAAATCATGACAGATTTGGCGGTTGTCCCTTCTTTCAACAAGGAGAGCGATCATCGTTTGCTGCGAGGGCGTTTTCACCTCGATCGCGGCTTGGTGCGTCTGACGCGCATACGTTCAAGGCAGCCGTGCCCCACTATGCTGGACGAAGATGCGGTCGCGAGGATTGCGAAAGAAGAGTTGTTTGAAGTGATGGATGACATCGACGCTGACTACGGGAACGTCGTGCAAACCGTAACTGCAATCGCAAACAGCTGTCGCAGTGTTGCTCCCAACCACAGTTCTCATCGCATCTCTGCTTCTACTCGTGCACTACTCGTAAAGGGAAGAAATATGGATCGACAGGAAAACCACATAGAATACACTTTGCTTAGTAGGTTGTGTAGGCAACGAATTGCTGAAGATCACGCCAATTTTGCAAGATCAAAGCCCTAGAGGAGGCAGAGAACAGGCGGAGTTTGAGGAAGGCGAGAAGAAAGATAACCGAGCACAATCTTAGGATTCCATGCTTAAAAACTGCGAATGGAACTTGATGCTGCTCCATACCTGGAATGGAAGAAATCTTGACAACGGTTTACTCTGCTCTGTTCAGATCGGACCTTCCAGTTGCGAGAAAAGAAAGATCAGTTATGGAGGAAACGCTGCCTTTTCTGTCATCAGAAGTGCGTCATGCGATTGAATCGATGCCTCGAGGCAAGGCGCCAGGGTAAGACGGCATCTCCGCGAAGCTTCTACAAGCGTGCGGGCCTCCTTTATATCGAGCACTTGCAAGGCGATACACTCGCTACCTGGCGGAGTGTACGGTTCCAACGGCGTGGAAGCAGTCTTCAACGGTGCTGCTGTTCAAGAAGGGCGACAAAGAAGATCTAGCGAATTATCGTCCTATCCCGTTTCCCCTCGTAATGACCTTCATTGACTACAAGAAGGCGTTCGACTCGATGGAGCCAGTAAAGTTTCGGAGACTTCCTGGAGGACAAGGTGTTGAAAGGATCTACGTAGACGTACTACGAGAATGCTACTCAGACTGCACAACGGTATTCCATCCTTTCTACATTGACGTTGTAGTAGTAGTTAAGGAGGGAGTACAGCAAGGGGATCCGATATCGCCAAACCTGTTTTCCGCGTGCCTAGAGCAAGTCATACGTCGCTGCAACTGAAGTGACTTTGGTGTTAACATCGACGGTGCGCGTCCTAACCATTTGCGATTTGCCGATGATATCGTGTTAGTCACGGACTCTCCAGAACACGCTTCTGAGATGCTGCATCGCCTAGATGAGGAAGGATGCCACTGTGGCCTCACCACCAATACTTCTAAGACAGAAGTAATGCGAAACCAATCCTCAGGCGATACCCCTGTACTTTTGGAAGGAGGTGCTATCGAAGACGTTGACGAGTACGTGTACCTCGGGAGCCAGCTCAACATGAGGAACGACTTAACTGGAGAGTCACCCAGGCTTCCATTGAACGTCGTCTTTTGGGTCCAATGCTGAGTCGGCAACGAGAGCTCAAACTTCATAATTCCGACGTCAGAGCAATGTCGAAAGGTAAGGACGTTCTAGTTCACGTCGATGAAGCGAAGCACAGATTTGCCGGACACCTAATCAGAGGAGAGGATGGACGATGGAGCTTGGTCACTATGCGATGGTACCCGCGAGAGAAGAAGCGGCCGCATGGCCGTCCTCCTTTACGATGGGCAGATTCTCTAGCTTATCGAAACAACGTCTATGATCCGGAGTCCTTTAGGGTGACTACGCACTGGACAACTCAAAGTCGCTCAAGAGCTCAAAGTCGAGAACAAAGGAAAAGAAGTTGGGACCCGCGCAAGGCCAATCGCCGTGCTGATGGTCGGGTCGTCTAAGTATCTAAGTAAGTAAGCATTGTCCACCAGTTGTTTGATTTTTGACATGCCTGAAAGACTCAACGGAACTTAAACAGTTTCTACAAATCAACAATTTTGGTGATTAAACGTGTGGGGGAAGGGGGGGGGGTCAGTGCGCTTTCAAAGCATTCAAGCTAAGTGCGCAGAGAGAAGGCGTAGCCAACCTTGATTGCGCTTATAGATGGTTTTGAGCCAGTAGAAAATTGTATTTACCTAATTTTCAGAAGGGAAGGAGCTCCGGGGTCCATGTTATAACTGTGTTTTTTACCTGAGCCTGAGTAGAGAAAGATCTTCGGGATTGGTGAGCCACGTGGATGTTCAATTATTACCTCATCCCAGTTTTTTGCACGAGCTAATCATCTCCCCCCGCCCCAGAGCTCCTCCCTCCTGGAACTTAGGTAAAAACCATTTTTTTCGGCTAAAATCTATCTCTAAGCGAATTAAGGTTGGCTACGCCTTCTCTCTGCGCATTGAGCTTGGAGCGTAGGGTTGCGATGGTTGCAGTTAGTACGCAGTTGCAGGCTGCCACCGGTGTGTAAATAAATAGCGCCATTAGTGGCATGGCTGGCAATACTCTCGAATTTCAAAAGTGAATGATCGCACACCACCAACTCTCATTAATTTCCTTTCTGTTTCCTAGGATTCATACGACTTATTTCACATATCCACTTCATTTTCCATGGACCCATGTAATTCGTGCAGTGCCTTACTAGCTTGAATGTGAACATCATTTTGATTTCATCGTCAAGAGACCTGCTGTATGGTTTCTATGTTGCCAATCATTTTCACTTACAGTGCTTGCCTGTGATCGGTTCCTCTGTTATTATAGTTTTCCACAACCAGTCAGGCCTTCATTTGGTGAATCGGTCGATCTAAGCTCACTCATCGCTCCTGTTATGTTACGCCATGCACTTCACTTTTATCCAGAGCCGTGAAATCTACGAATCCTATTATAGCTTGCGGTACAACCTGGAGCTCATGTTGGTGCGTTGCGTTGCGTTGCGTCGTTTGTTGAATATGATTGATATTCAGGCAAGTAGAGGTGTAATTAGATTCAACCGAGTACACGGACCAAGTTTCATCGCTATCTAAGTGTGATCGGTGGATCACTTGCAGATTTTTAAGGCTTGGAGGTACGGCAGTAATGCCTTGATTGATCAAAAGTTTGTTTATTTGAAGAATCACTTTTGAGAGGTAGTATGACAGGGGTAGGCGCCTTTCTGCTGTGGTCGACAATTAGATGAATGCGTAGTAATGCTGGGAATCAGGAGTGCGATGAGCGTTGCATCCCGAGTACATTAGGGGTATCGATCACTTTATCTTTTGTGGCACTCTTTTATGCAACGATTCATAAATTAGAAGTGATATCCACTTAGTGCTATTTCCTTTCGTACACCGTCATTATAGAATACTGAATCCTATCCATAGGTATGACGCTTTGTCTGCGAGACTGGCCCTCCGTCCGGGCTTTTTTCGAATCGACGCGCCGACGTGACTCGCGGCGTACAAGCACGCGGCCACACAGAGCGGTTTTTCGAGAGAATCTCAGAGTATGTGCTGTTTGAACTTTGTTCAAATTTTGGAGTGATTCTGGACCAAAACGCGGGCACGCAGAGGCGAAGGGGCGTGCCGTACTATGTGCAGCACGCTGTACGCAGTGGGTTGAAGTAGTTAATTAAACTTGAATTGGAATGTTAAGCTGACCAACTGAGGCAAGTCCTCCAACACATTAAATGATCATCTCAATCAGTTTCCATAATCGAATAAAAGTAAGCGTAGAGTTACGATTGTTGCCACTCGTACGCAATCGCAGAGTGGTACCGGTTTGTTAATGTACAGCACCGCTTTTTCGTGCATTTCTTTTGATTACAGTGTGCGTTACTGAGAGATACAGTAGAAGTCGGATGATGATTAGGACAACGCTTAGCTAACACCTAGAGTCCTGTTCAACTGCACACCCGGCTATTCGGTTTGTTCTCTGTTCATCATATTTTATGTCATAATTATTTAAAATAGTAGAAGATTACCATGACAGTGTGACCCGCTGTTTTTCATCGAAGACGCAGATGATTCTAAGGTATCCAGTTCAAGTAAAATAATGGAAGTTATGGTGCAGAATACAGGGTGGCTCCGAAGTATGGGACGCCACATTTGTAACTCCAAAGTAGTAGGACTGGTAGACAAATTTGCTACATTGGTTGCTTGTTACATTGCTACATTAGAGTAGAGCTGCATGATCACTTAGGACAGGAGACGACCGAAATTCGGTCCTTTCTCTCTCACACGGACGTCAAGGCAGTCGATAACTGAACCAATAGTACGCCGCAGGTAGTCTACGTCGATTTCGTCTTACGCCTTCTAAAGCACAAATGCCAGAGCGTCCAACGAGCAGTAGAAGCGTTCTGTGATTTTACCCTTCAAAAGCCCTTACATAGTGAAGTCTATTGAAGTGAAGTCTGCAAAGAGGGAGGTCAGATGTCCCTACCTCAGTACCCGGAGAAATGGATAGCGATACGGCTTTCGCCGATTTTTAGGCATGCAAAGGGGCCCAATTCTGTTGATGGGCAAACGATCGGTCACCTTAGTGCTCACTGACCCACATCAACAGGACGTCCATTGAAAGTGCCTTTTGCTGAACCTCAGACTCAATTTTCACATTTCTGTCAATGAAGACTAATATTGGTTTGCATTCTGATGTCACCACAGCTCGAATAGTCACACTTTCGGAAGATAGTCGGCTATGCACAAGACGACGTTGTGGAAACGCTTCGTCAGGTTTGGGCCATAACTGTCTCTGGTCTTGACTGTTTGTAAAGGTCCTGCTGTCAAAATTTTTTCATCGCGTCAGATCAAGTCAGAAATGCGACGCGCCCTGAGCTCTCGAAGAAGTTCAAATTGTCCTCAACAGAGCCGTGACCATTCAGCTTGAGGTTGCATTTCACAATTTTCTGGACGGTTTGATGGCTGTTGTTGAGGTCAGAAGCAATCCAGTTCGTGCTGGCTCCATCTTTGCGTATGATCCTCTTCCTAATGGCTTCTCGGTGTGTTCACTGTTCTCGGTCGTCTACTTTTTCGCATCTTAGAGGCTTGTCCTCGAGCCCTGAGAACAGCAGAGAAGTTTCGAGCGGTTAAAAAGGGAACGCTGAGTCGTTTCTCAATGGCACATTTCTTGAAACGATCCCTGAGCATCTTCTCGATGATGGGTCGTTGCGCAGAAACCTCCATAGCGATAGTTTGGACGGACAGTCAATCAAATGGGGTATAATAGCTATTGCACAGCTCCTGTTCTTTCAAAAAGTTTTAGAAGATTTCTGAAAAACCATTGATAAAGTGCCGACAAGCGCTAAAACGAGCGCCTTATACTTTTCAGCTACCCTGTAGTAGAAAGGTAGAGACGAGAGAGCCAGAATCGTCGGGTATCGAAAATGTAGCGCTCAAAAGTTGTAAGAAAGTGGTTCGTACGAGGTATGACGGCAGAACCGGCAAGGATGGGGCATGTGTACGAAATGTCAATAGCCTAATAACGGAGAGCTGGCCACAGGACCAAAACTGGCGAAAATTCCGTTCCACTGGACGCGATCATAGTACTGACGGCATAGCGTAGAAACTATGTTATTCGAAAGAAAAGAAAGGTCCCGTATAAATGCGTCAGAGCAGTCCGGGAGGCACAGTTTCATCTCAGAGGGTTGTTTTTTTTTATCGTGAACTGTGCCTTCAGAAACAATTGTAATTATGTAAAACCTTTTCTATTTTTTCAAGAATTTGAAATTTGTTGTGTGGAG